ATACTGATTGAAAGACAAGAGTAAGTACTATGAAAACAAAAATCTGTGAGAGATACTGAATAATTACCATGGATCAGGAGACCATCATTATTCTCGCTTAGCACTGAGGAAGAAATCCACGGGAATCTTAACATCAATTAGGTTGTTACTATGACTCAATTACAGAGCCGCCAATCACCAAAGAGAAATTGATTCTCATTTGTGCTGCTACTTTTGATTTCTTACATGTTAAAGAAAGTAAAGAAACAAAAGAGAAGCCATTCCAAATATTTCAGTCTACTACCTGAGCAATTTCCATGTTTACAGCAGCTGGTTATGGCCACATTACACATTCTTATTTCTTTCTTTGAGGGAAAACTCTCTTAAAAATTTGATAAAAATACCAGACTGTCTCAGAAATGCTGCTTCCATCAGGGTGAATGAGCTGGAGCCTTCTATTGAACAGGGCGTGAGAACAGTCCTGTCCAGATCCCCACAGCACTTCAGAGCCCAATTTATTTTATCAAAAAAGATCTGTACATGGAAAACCCAGTCATAAATGTGTACTGTACTGAGAAAGCAGAAACATAGTCAGTAAAGCAATATCTTAACATCCACTGAAGCCAGGCCATTGACTGGAGAAGTCGCATGGCTAAAGAGAAATGTGAAGGGAATATGAAAACATTCCCCCTCAGAAAACATTTCTGCAGTTTTTAAAAAATAGAATCACTACAAGTCGGGAGAAGACACAGGATGGACCTCAGGCTTATACCAGTTAAGCATCTTTGATTTCACAATCCGAAATGCTCCAAAATCTAGAAACTTTGAAAGTATTGACATGGCACGGAAAATAGAAAATTTCACACCATAAAACTTTGTTTCATATAAAAAATTATTTAAAATATTGTATAAAATTATCGTGGGGCTATGTGTACAAGGTATATATGAAACATAAAGGTATCTGTTTAGACTTGAGTTCCATTCCCAAGACATCTCATTATGTATATGAAAATATTCTAAAATCTGAGGAAAACCTGAAATCCAAAACACTTCTGCCCTCAAGCATTTTGGAGAGGGATGCTCAGCCTGCACTTGCATCTACTGGACGTGTGAGATATCCCAAAGGGAATGTCTTTTCTTTAGCGAGGCCTCCAGGACACTTCATGGTGTCTTTCTCGTCCAGACTGAACAATCCCTTTGCAGATTAGTGGGATTTTGTTAGCATGGCAGCCCTTGGCCTACACAAGATATTTAATGGCGTGCACTGTGGTAGTAAGAGGGTGATATTTCTCCTGCTAGAGAAAAAGCATCCTTGGGTCCCTCAGCAACTTTGGTCTCTTGTGGTCCCTACTGCTGACTTTCACCCAAGGGTGCAGTCGGGTTTCCCTCTCAGCCAGAGTGCTGGCTCCAGTCTCCTTTCTTGGGTCACAGAGCAGCTCACTTCTCAGCCACCAAAGGAACATGGCACCATGCCGGGCAGGAGGCTGGGAGCTGCCACCCCTCACCAGCTGCTCTTCCCGGACCCTCTGTAGGGCCTGTCTGAGAGGTGACCACAGCTGTGGTTAGGGACAGACCCCTGGCCCGGGGTGGCAGGGACGGTTCACCTCAGTCCTTCCCCCAGCAGCCCCCCGCCTGACACATTCCCTTCCATCCCATGACAACAAGAATAAGGCGGGGAAGAAAGTCCCCGGTGCTTCTCGCCACAAGTCTCGCTCAGAGCACAAGAGCCAGCAATGCCCTGCACGGGCCAGGCTGCACTTCCTGAACTCCAGCCGTTCAGGAACTTTCATTGGTGAGGTAAATGAATATCATTTATAGTGCACAGTCTTTGGCAGTCGTTTCATAGGAGAAAGAAGGAATTCAAACATGAAAGGGATACTAGGTTTGCAGTTTTTATAAAAAAGGGAAAACCAAAGAACACACTTAACCACTACAAATAATTAAAGTGCAAATCACCCACTACTATTTGTTTTTACTTTAGGAGAATGTTTAGAAAGACTAATAATAGTAAAAAAATAATAGTATTTTTAAACCCAAGAGACCATTCAGGAAGCATTTTTCTTCATTACCCCTATAATAAAATTTACCCTATTGGATATCAGAGTAGTTTCACAAGACCCAGGTTCAGAGGGAGCCATGATCTCCCCTCAGGGGGGAATTCATGATACAGCAGCTCTTAACTGAAGAGAAAAACAATCACTTTTTATCCAAGGCTTGGTGGGCAGGAAAGGCCCCTCCCTTCCCGCTGACACCTTCTGTACTCCGCCTTTGATGACCGGGATCCTCACCCCCTCCCCAGCCTGCAGGCAGAGTGGAACCTCCGTGAATGCCTGGCAGATTCCCCTTCCTCGGAGAAGCTTTCACCTCTCCTCCTGAGGACGTCCCTTTACCCTCTTCCATGGGAGCCACCGCAGAAAGGTGGGGATGGGCGGGTCTGGGGCCCGCAGGAGCGGGGGTTACTCACGTCGGTTCTCATACATGCTCCTAGACTGGGCCCAGATTTTAAAAGGATCCGGCTTTTTCTGCCCAGGGTTGTCGGTCTGATCAGCAGCGGGGGCCTCTGTGGGCGGGTACTCAGGGAGCACCTGCGTGGTGTGGCTTGGGGATGCCGTGTGCAGATTCCGGTGGCTGGAGACACTGTGCTGAGAACCGGTCTGGCTGTCTTTCCTCTCCAGTGGTTGCTGAAAGTAAGCAAGAGACAGGGTCGAGGACAGATTACCTGGCTCCGAGTGGGTGTCTCCCCAGCTCGACTCCCTTAAGCACTTCTGCATACACAAACATAGACACATCAAGGGCACGTCTGGTTTCCACCTTTGTCACTAATGCTGAGTGCAGATAAATCCCCCAGTGACTGGCAGACAGATACAGGGGTGGGCCAGACAAAGACATAATCACAAGCCATGCTGTTCTCTGGGAGGTAACGGAAACAAATCCAATTTTCATCAGAGGTTCTCAGCTGAGACACCAGGCTTCTTTACTGTAAGATGCATCAGTTTTAACATCCTCATTTCTTCACAAAAATATGTGTGACACAAAATACGACGAGTGCTTTAGCTGTAAGGCTATCATATCCAGAAGAAGACAACTGGGCTAATGTGCTTGCTGGGGCTTCAAAGGCTGGCTTTCAGTAATAAAACACCATGTCCTCTCCACAGGTCTGTTGCGCCCAGGAGAAAGAGGGCTGATCTTCAGATAGCCTCTTGTTATGTGTGCTGCGGTCCTCACCCTCAGATAAATACCTATCATGTGAAGAGCCTTTATAACTCCTAGGTAATCAGTTTCTCAGGCACTGTATTGAACCTTGGAACTGCTGATACTACTACTGGTAGAAAATCAGAGTCAGACTTTATTATGGGTTAACTTCGGAGGGCAGCCTTCGTAGACTTGCACTGCACCCAGAGACCCAAGTGGTGTTCGGAGGGGAGGCCCACTCAGATTCGAGACAGTAAGCCAGTTGCTGATCAGCAAAGGCTACTGCCACTCTATGAAATGCTCTTTGAATGGTGACTAAACGAAGAGCAGAACATGCTGGGAGGAAAAATACTGCAGAGGAAAAAAATAATTTTAATTGTTCAGTAAAAGATTGTGGTAATCCAAGATGTACAGATCCCCCGATCCAAGATGAAAACCCTGGACCCTGCCTTTCCTGCCACTACACTCCCGTGCTTAGCAGCATGGCAGAGAACTGGCGGACGGGAAAGGCATTTCCATCCCCTTACCAATCCTGTACACCGGGTGCTTTCAACGCAAATGACGAGATCCTCCAAGTCAAACATTCCAGTTCTCTACAGTTCCTCCACCAGGCGCTGAGATCAACCCTGGCCAGACAATTCCCCCTCCTTTGGCCCCCTGGACCTCCCTCATGTTTCCTCCCCTGGAATTCCACTAGGAATATCCACGACTCCTTTCTCAGGTTCCTCCACTTCACTTCCTCCCCTTCCAGTCCTTGCTCTGAAACAAGTATCGGAAGACAGTTTAAGAAGGACAGAGACTTCATTTGCTTTTGGCTATCACAGATTTGGCCACAGGTTTTGCTAAGGACTCAAAGTAGAAGAAAACGGCCTATGTATGTAATGAAGGCAAGACAGGATATTTAAAACGGTACTTGCTGTGTCTGTGGAAGATCTGAGGACCTTGTTCTACACTTGGTAAAACTACGAGGGGCTGCCTTCACTCAGATTGAAGGGGAGGAGATATTCTGGCGAAGATGGCAGGAAAACACCTGGTTTTCTGGTTGGGGACAAACACCATCACTACACCACACCTCCTTTGTACCCTTTTGAGGAAAAAGTGCTCTGCTCCGAGCTGCATGAGTCAGCACCTCCAAGACCTGAAACAGACCAGCCTCTGCCAGCCTCCGTGTGTCTGCCCAAGAGTGCGTTCAGCTCTCCAGGCCATTGTGTGACCTCTATCCCAGAAGGCAACACCTGCTCTCTGGCTTCCCAGGCACACAGGCTGAGGATTTTCAGGGTGAGAAAATGTCTCTTCTGCATGTGCATGGGAATTTGTTCTCCTCTTCGATGTGTTCATTACACAGGATTCAATCATAAACCAGCATGTATAGCATCTGCCTGTTGTTTGCGGAAGCACATACCACAACATTCAGGAAAATGTGGGTAGGTTTCTCCTCTTAGCTTTATACTTCCCTGTGTTGCGGTATCTTTTTAAGTTTATAATGCACAGAGAATGCTTTTATAATCAAGACAAAAATTAAAATTATCCTCATTCTGAAACGAATTTTGGTAAACAGAATGAAGAGAAATTGTTAATTTCTGGTTTTGTTGGAAGAGTCGAGTATTTTAAATGTAAAAGCAAATAATTTAACAGTGGACCTCTAAGTTTGCCCTGAGAGTCACTATGCTTCATGTCCACCCTCTTTTTTTTCTCAAATGAGTGACAGCTCCCTGATTGCAGGGCAGGCCCATCAACTCTGAATTCATTCCACAGTCTCTGACCCCGAGCCCCTCATCCTTTGTGCAGGAACTGCACAGTTCGGGAGGACCTGAGAGAAGATTCCTTCCTGCACCGCTGCTTTTGGGGTCACTCTGCAGTGGTGCCCCATTGCTGCTTGGGCACTGAGTCCTCTGGTTTTCCTGAACTGGAGAAGACACCTTTCTGGCAACCCCGTCTCACTGAGGGGTCTGCCGGAAAGAAGTGTCGGACTTTTCTGCTGCAGGAATCCCTGCAGGCTTTTCCATGCAGACCCCACACGCAGGCCCGGCACGGCGTCTGTCCTGGCACACAGATCTCTGACACAGAGGCCCTAGAGCCCAGGACTAAAGGACGGCTTCCCCACAGAGGGAGCGCGCACCTCAGAGTCTACTGCAAATGCTTGGGGCGCTTGTCAAGTTATAACGGCCATTCTCACCTCCTCAGTAGATGACTCATTTTGGTCCAATTTAACACAAAAGGACAGATACAATCTGGAATGAGACTGCAAAACTATTTCTCAGTCAAATTGCACCTCTGAGTCCGCCTTAAATGCCATCTAAACTCTGTCCCTCAATTTGGAAAATAAAGTAAAAGAGCATCCTGAGAATGCCCTCCAAAAGCTGCCACTTCTGCACTGCCCCTGACTGGCATTCACAAATGGCATACTCCTGGGTAATCACAGTCATTTGGAAGATTTCCTGATTTTTGTCTTGCTAAGGTTTAGCTTCACTGTATGTTCCTTCTCAAAATCAATTACGAAAACCCCTAAACTGAAGACGCATTCTGTACTGAACATCTTGCTGGCACTCTGGGTTTTGTGAAGCTATGCTCTGTGTGTACGTGTGTATAAAAGTTAAAAATACGACCTTTTATTGTTTGAACTTGCTAAGTATTTATGAAATCGTCTTTTACGTGTTAAAGCCCAGAATTGTTACGTATCTTCCAAATTAAAATCTTGCCTGGATTACCTCCTTAAAGACTTGGAGAGTGAAGGCAAACTCTTCTCTGAACTAGATATAGCACAGGACCAGATCTGCAATTACTGTGCTTGCCTTCCACCTCATCCTTCCAGATGAGGCCCCGGACATGGCCAAGCAGCTGCAGATAAAGAACTCCAAAGCCTGTTAGAAGAGCCCCGTGCACACTAAGAACGTGATTGGAGAGAAGAGCCTAGCACATCAGGGGAGAGTATTAGACTGCACCCTCCTGCAGTGATTACTCCCTCCACAAACACAGATTGATCATCCCTGTGTGCTGGACACTAAGGGATACCTGGCCTCTTGAAATTATTCCCTCAGTATGCATCTGATGTATGGAAATCGACAGTAATCAAATATTAACAATATGTTGATAATAACATACTGTACTGCCCTTTAGACTGAGGTACAGAGAACCCCATGGAAGAGCATTAAGGGACACAGAATGTTGTAAGTCCCCAAACAAAAATGAGCTCGGATTCTTTGAGGACCAGAAAGGCCACATGGCATAGCGGAGGGATGGGGTGGCCTGAAAAGAACTTGGAGGCCCTAACAATGCAAGTGTCCTGTAGACTCCTGGAAGAGCTTGGTTTTGTTCCTGGTTGAAGGGGGATCCATTCTTGCATTTAAGCAGGGAAGATTTAAGGGCCAACGTGTTTCTCAAGAGTTTGGTCTGGCTCCTGAGAGGAGCAGATTGGTGGGGAAAGCGAAAGCAGACAGAGCAGTCGGGAGGTGATTCCTGAGGCCACTGAGGGACCCAAGGTGGCTCATGCTGGGACAGGAGTGGTCAGGAAGGCCAGGACCAGCAGGGTGAAGACAGTTTGACGCCAGAGTCGACTGGCATCACTGACAGTGTGAACGGGAGAGAGGAGGAAGGAGACTCCACGTCTCCATCTGGAGAGAGTGGTTGGAGAGGGGAACCCATGCTGGCAGAGATACCACCAATACTGGGGTCACTGGGCTGGACGTTTTGAAGCAAGAATTTTATTTCGGAGTCTGAAATAACAGCCAACTAGGAAGAAGGAAATGGGCTGAATTTTAAAACCCCCATAAAATTCCTTGGCTACACAATGGCTATAAACTTGTATGGCAAGATCTTTTTAAAATAAACCTGCACCAACCTCCCTGAAATGAATGATTCTCATACTACTTGCTGTCAGGATAGGCAAATTGGGAAGATGCAATTTATGAATTGAAAATGGGAGAAAAATCATCTCGTCAGTATTTCACAGACTTGATTTAGAAATGGAGGTACTTATAAAGTGAACTGAAAATATTTGCTCAGAAGAGCAAATGAACACAGACAGCACACTTAGGAGCTTAAATGATGAAAAGAATTCATGTGGTTTAAAAATGACAAATTGATGCATTTTAAAGAAAATTATTTACAGTTCAGGTATCTGCCGAGACCTGAGGCCAGCGCAGCGGTCTACACGCGCCACAGGGAGAGCTCCCCGCGCCGATGAGGCGCTAGGCCAAGGTCAGCGGCGTGCAGAGGCCGAGATGCAGACCCAGCCAAGCGCAGGGTGGTCCCTCTCTCTTTCTCTTGCTACGCATGGCTCTAAGTCAAACTGTTTCTTCCAGAAGGTAGGTGAAAGGAGCTCATGGAGGAGGAATGCGTGGACTGGCTATGAAATGAATTTCAGTTCACACTGACTGCTTTCAGGAACTCTAAGTCAACAGCAAAGCCTCGTTCTGAGTGGCAAGTGGCGAGTGGCGAGGGTCTGCTGCGGGAGGGAGGCGAGAGGACGGCCTGCAGCGAGGTGCGCAGGCCCCTTCTCCCAGCACTGCCCCTGCCGCAGCCCAAAGGGGCCACAGGGGCCACAGGGGCCAGGAAAGGGGAAGGCGCGGGAGTGCGCGAGCCAGGCAGGGCGCAGGAGGCCCAACGGCCTGGCCAGGGTCGCTGCAGCGCAGGCTGCGTCTCCCTTCAATGCTCTGCGCCGCTTCCCAGAAACCTCCTCTCGCAGCCTTGCAGGCGCAGGCACAGAGGCCAGGGGAACGGAGCCCTGCAGCTACTTCCGCCTTACGGACTGCAAGTCCGCTGGGAAAGCCCAGACCATCGCCTCGCTCACCATCCAGTGTCCTACGAAAGACTTGTGAGTTTTCTGTCCCTCTTTTTTTTAATAACTAAAGATTGGTCTCCTTAGTGCTAACTATGCGACACTTTAACTGACGACAATGCCTAAGTAAATAATGTGGTTTTCTGGGTTGCCCAGGCTGCCAGGGAACGCCAAAGAATTCCACAGCTGACTCACAGCACTGAGCATCTTGGGTCCTGGCTTTGTAAGATTACTTAATTTAGGTCACTATGACTAAGAGCTTAGTGAGTTTCATAATGTGCGTAGTTAATTCTACATGTTTGTGCATTAATTTTGAAAGTATATGCTCATCAGGTTAATGTCCATGAGGTCGATAAAGACCTGCCTGTTGGTGTGTTACTCTCTCTCTCCCTGTTTTAGGTCCTGCTGAAGGATCCACTGGGTGTGGCCGGCAGAAGATACTCAGGGAAAACTGATGGAATGGAGGCAGAATATATTTTGGTAAACTTTGACAACGAATCTTTGTTAAAAGGATTTAACCAGTAAATCATTTGTCTACAAGCTGCCAGAAGAGAGGTGCTATGACCATCGTATTATATAGCATTTCCATTGCCTCATACTGAGTAAGTGCCAGGAACTTACTAGGTTCTTAGTGCTCCCTTGAGACATAAAAGGAAGAGATGGATGGACAAGTGGATGAAAGACGAACATATGGACAGATGGACACAGCAAGGAGAGATGCATAGACGAAGAGGCAGATGAAGAAAAAGAGAAAGGAAATGTTGGAAAATGAGCAAGCAGAAAAACCTAAGTGGATATGACTTGAAATTCAGGGTTTGGTGGGAGACTTAAGATCCTTCTGTGTGATTTTGACTGAGTTTCAGTTAAATAAGTTTCCAGTCAGGATGATTACCTTGGGCCACAGAATCAGTTTCTGAAGGTCTAAAACTTGACAGCAAATATGTCTTATTTTGGTCTCTGTCATTTGGCAGAAAAATCCCTGATGCTATAAAAATCCAGGTATTAAATTAATAAAATTTTATTAAGATACTGCTATTGTCCCCAGTGAGTATAGAAACCACAAATTCAACATTTAAACTAAATCTGGTGGGTGAAATTCCTTATTAGCAGTGACCTATGAGGACTATCTTGGAGGGGAAACAAGATAAAAAGTTAAGTCCCGTTATAATGAAAACTCAACTAATTATTGAAAACATTCGAGAAGAGAACAAGGTAGGACAGCATAAGGAAGCTGTCAGTCACATGAAGAAGCCAACCGTGTCTGGAGCCCCTAAGAACAAGCAGGCAAACCCAGGGTCCTGGGGTCAGGCTCCGTACTCACAGAGCTGCTGGGAAGTCTACGGGAGCCATGCTCCAGGGTCAGTCTGTGCGCTTGGAAAGGTAAAGCTGCACACCTGGCCCTACCTGCCCCGACCTGAGTGGCCTTCTGGACCAGGACATCCAGCTTCCCCATGGGTTCCCACCACCCTGCCAGGAAGATTTCATAATCATCTTCCCTCTGGCAGGACATAAGCAACATGAAAACCTGGAAAGGGAAACTGCTTTCCACCCCGCTGCACAGAGCTCCCTCCCACCGAGCACAGATGTTGGCAATGCCCTGCTGCAAACAGCAGACCTGGTCTGTAGTCCTCACGTTCTGGGCAACAGCTGCCAAAGTGTGCCAGTGATGCCATGAAAACCGCGTCCCTGCCCTGGCATGGGCAGCTTGTGAAGACAAGCCCCAAGCTGGGGGCCTGCTCCGTCTGAACCCAGCAGCACACCACTCTGGGGTTGAGCTAGTTAAGAGCCAGCAGACTGTGGGCAAAGCAGGCAGAGAGTATGTTTCCCAGGAATGAAGCCTGAGTGATTGGCTTGCTGTTTGCTAATGACACGGCTTCTGCAAAAATAAACTGTCATAGGGAATTCTCTGAACTGACTTGAGGAATACTGGCTCTATGCTTCTTTAATGTCCTTTGAGTTCACCAGGTAATTCCAAAACCAATTTGGGGAAGAGGAGATGCAAGCATCACAAAAATCCTTTTGCAGAGTAAATATCCATGGGATGCAAAGTGGAAAAGGACACCTTGCGCCCTGATGTCACACTCTGCTCTGCCTCCCCAGAAGCCCCTCCGAGACTCCACGCCACGTGAGGTGTGTGAAGTAAGTTCTCACACCTACACAGCATGGCTGCCGGTGTGTGTGGGAGAATCGAGGGTGGCTCACACCCTCTCAAGCGCCCGAGCTCCCAGATTCACTTCCAGTTTTTGGAAGGCTGGATGGCTCCTATGACCGAGGGATACAGCCACATGTGCACACACATGTGCTGCCACCTCCATGGTTCCAGTGTGGGCAGCAACCAGCACTTTCCTGCTTGGACATCAGCACAAACTGACGGGTGCAGCGCTGAAGTCAGTCTTCCATTTGGTGTGCGCCGTGTGATCAGAGTCACATCAGTATTGCGGGTTTTTCCTCTTTGTAGAACTTGGGAGCAAAAAAGGCCTCACAGTGCAGGAAGCTCCCTCGCTCCCTCCCTCGTCTCCTTAATAAACTTTTGCTTCTCACTGCCGTGCTCATAGACAGGTGGGAAGAATTCAGCTGCAGCTCTATAAGCTGCAAAGTTTTAAAGGTCTTTCTTTTCTGGATGGCACAAAGCTGTAAATCTACCTCCCCCCATCTTCTAAGGCACAGTGAAGCACCCTTCTTTCTCCTAAGGTTAATGAATTAGGAAGCCTCTTCCACCCTGATCAATTTCACAGGCAACGGAGTTCCAGAATTTGAGTTTTTAAGTAGCATTTTAATTTGTTGTTAGTGCCCGGGGAGCAAAAGTCCATACTACCAAGCAAAACCCTATAGCCTCTAAGCTATTAGCTAACATGTCAACGAGGTAATGCATCTTCAGGGAAACCAGATTAGAAAGGACAGCAAAACATTGATTTTTTAAAAAATCCTCTACCTGCAGCATAATGCTGCTAAAGCTAGCAAAACAACAAAGGGCATTTTCACAGCAAAGAAATGTCTTATTTTTGGTGTTGGGGCAGTGAGCACTGGCCTACCTGAACATGGAGATATATATATATATATATATATATGGCAGAGTAATCCTTCCTAAACATACAGGCTTTTGATTTAGTAAATAATTCATCACCGAAAGCATAAGAAAGCTCAGGGAGAAGACGAGTAGCCATGTGAACTGGCAGGAACACCAGTTGAGAGCAATGCTGCTCAGGAGCAGATGGAGCCCTCTTTTTTCCAAAGGAAACAATAGCATTTATATCAGTCAAAACAGCTAAAGAACTCATCCATTTGAAGGAGAGTTGTGATGATGCATTTGTGTAGCGAAGATGCCAAAACATGCATTCTTTATCCTAGCTCCTAAAGCCTGCCCACAAATCCTTACACAGTTAAAAGACAAGCCCAAATATCACCAAACCAAGCAGATCCCCAGAACTTAATAAAACGAGCCCCGGATCCTCTCTCCCCCAACCACTGGGAAACACATTTAGTGAAGCAGAGCCGGACAGGGTCCCCTCCCACCACCAGCACCCGCCACCCCCAAGTAGCTGACAAGTCCTTACCGACTTGGGGCTCTTCTTGGGAACAGGCAGCCCTGAAAAATATGCAACAAGGAGGGGAGGGGGAAGAAATCATTAGCATATAAATGTTACCTTTTTCTTAAAGAACAATCCCCAGGCGTTTCACGGCAACCTAGCAATCTGCAGAGTTATGTCAGATTTCTCCCCAGCATCAGAGTTACCAGGCTGTTCATATCGGATCGAAGCAGAGGGAGGAGGAGAAGGAGAGGCAGGAGATCTATCTGCATTGGCTATGCTGACTTGTACCGCAGCAGCCTGGAGGCTGGGAAAAGAAATCACAGACCTCAGCGGCCTGGGAAATTGAACACTTGGACGGAATCTCAAATGCTCTCCTGGATTAAGAGAGCCTTAACTTACAATTAAGTCCTAGATATTTCCTTTCCACACGATGATCCACCTGTCAATCAAAGCAGACCAATCAGGTCAGGGGAAGGGTATATATTTAGTTTCAAAGGAGTGCATGGTTAAAATTAAATTTTTCCCCTTTTCTTTCTTTTTTCTCTCTGCCTTCCAGGAGAGGAAACGCCTTCTCTATTTGGATGAGCTCAACATCAAAACAAAGACGGATGCTCTTCTGCCAGCACAGAAAGATAAAACACGAACCCAAGTCCAAGTGGGTTGCGTTCCCTCCAGATCTCGGCCACACGTCTGTCTCAGTGCCTGCCTCGTCCAGGCAGCCTCCCACTCTGCTTGCTGGGAAGGACTAGGGCTCCTACTGTCCCCTACAGGGGGAAGAACGCTGTTCAAGAGCGAAAAGAAAAATTTCACAGAACTTAAAAAAAAGGGAAAGAGGAAAGGAGAGGAGAGGAAGGTCTGAACCTGATTGTCTGTCCCCAGACGGTTTTTAGTGAGAGCTCAAGCTGCAAAGGACCAGAGATGTCCTGGGTTCTGGGAAAGTCAGCAGCAATCAGGGCAGGCTTGTAGGGGTCTGCCACGAGGACAATGTGGGGAAGGGCGGTGAGAAAGGGAAATGAAGCACATGTTGGTCTGCCAAGTGATCTTTCCACAAGCTGCTATCTTTTCTTATCATCGTTACTACTATTTTGTTTGAGCAGGGGTTAGAATGTAAAATGCAGATTCCACCTGTGTAAAGTGCCAACGACACACTTAGGATTAGATGATTCTGCACTAGAAATTTCAACCTGGTTTTCAAAGTGATTCCTATGTAGCGTAATGACTTCAACTGTTTGGGAAATGACTTGTCAAGCCACGAGCCATGCTAAGCTCAGTGCAAGCGACTGAGGCAGTGGAAGTGGGCGAGGGAGGCCATGCGATGAGCAATGTAATGATGTGCCCACTGCAAGCCAGGCATGAGAAGAGCCACTCAGCCACAGAAGCAGTGGGGGTTCCCTGGCAGGGGTCACCACAGTGAGGTCACCATGGTCCAGCAGACTTCAGAGTGCATGAGGAACACTCGGCTCACTGTCAGAAAGGCAGAATCAGAGACCCCACCCAGGGCCCAGGAATATGTATATCAGCAAATCTTCCCAGGATTCTGGTGCCAGGGCTCTAAGAACAGTATTTAAACCACAATACAGCAGTAAGATGATTACTTTTTAAGTCAGCAAACTCAGACAAGCAGCCTTCAGCATACCATTTTTAAGCCCTCTGTGCCTCGGTTTCTCCAATGATGAGACAGAAACTGTCACTTCCCACGATTAAGATAGCTGATTAAGAGAATATGTTATAAAATCTACCTAGGCCACCCTTGATTCCTGGCTCTCTCATCTTCCTCGGCTGGCATCATTCAGAAAGGAAGTAGGTGTGGTTATCTTATTCTAACTAAGGGAAATCCATTTACTAAGCATATAGACATATAAAAACAGATGTAAAAGAAATATTTTGCCTATAGATAAGAACATACTTAATAATTTTGATATGCCTTTATTCTTTAAATAATTATTAGGTGTTATTAGGTTCATTAATATGATTTTGTCAGATTTTAGTATTAGTGTAGGTACTGAATACACTTCAATATTATGTATTATGTGATAAAATTCAGATTTCCCCCTTATTCACATATTCTTAGTTAACTAGAAAACACATGGTGTCAGTATCCTTAGCTTTCATGGCACTTGACTCTGCCCAGGATCCCAGTGACAATCTACAAAAATATGTAAGTAACACCCAACTAGGTAGGTGGAGTCAGAAAAATGGCTCCATCCACATTCTGCTAATCATTTATAAAACTGGCCAGTCCTAAATTCTCTCTTAAGATTTTCACACATAAAATAAAAATTGCTTTTCATTCACAATCACAGAGAAACATTCCACACCCCCCCTTCAAAGGTCGAACCACAGGGATGTTCACTGTAGCACTACTGCTGTGAAGGAAAACGAGAAGTCCACTGGAAATTCCAAATAATCTGTGGGGCCACCAACCTACCAAACCCACTGCACAGGTTAAAAGGAATGAGCTCTGCCTACAGGTAACAACATGGCAGCCTCAAAAACAACGCTGAGTGAAAACAGCATGCTGCCAAACGGCAGGTACAGCAGGAGGCAGAGCTTCACACAGTCCACCACCACAGGGTTTGGCCTTGGCCTTCTGCAGATGTCCCCACCCAGCTGATAAGAGGGATATTTCTGGTGGGGCTGGGGCTGGGTGGAGGGATCAGAGGCTCTGGTTTATACAGCATTCACTTCTCACTGATGCTAAAGCATTAATTTAAAAATAACCATTAATTAATGGCCCTTCCATTGTTTATTACATAAAAACAACTAGTCTGCAAGATACGGGGGTAAACAAAGTCTGTTTCCCCTAGGAAGGGGTCCATGAGATAAATTCAAAAGGTCCCAGGTCAGTGGACACGCTTGTATATACAACAAATAAGAACAACTTTTTAATTTTAAACTTGAGGTAATGGTTCCTCTTTGCCAGTTAGTTGCTGAAAAACTTCATTTTAAAAAGCCACACCTTTTACAGGAGCCAAAAGTGGGTTATGACCACAAATTAATATTTAAGTAGTCAAAATCCAGCAACTCCACTGGAGTGCTTTTTGAAAAAAAGAAATCAAACATTTGTTTTAGGCCCATACGGTCATTAAATCTTAAAATCTAATAAAAATGAATGCTGGAACAGCCTCCTTATTACAATTTATAATTTATTTTAGCCAAAACTATTCAGAAAGATTTAAAGCACCTGGGAGACCCAGTGGAAAACACTCACAGGTCATTGTACAGCAAAGTTTTCTAACCTAGCAATCCTAGGATGCAGGTCTTGTCCTGGGAGAGTTCAGCTCACGTCATGCTGCACCGCGTGGGGCGTGGGAGGCCCTGCCAGCACACACCTTGTGGCAGGTCTGTGGCTCTTCTTAGGCCGAGGTATGCTTTGCACACCCTGTGGCAGCAGAGGTTTTTGCTCTATAAATCCTGTCACATCTTACTAGTGAGGCACACGGGCAGAAACAGCACCTTTCTTAATGGCCCCTCTGGTCCATTTGGGTAAGTAGGGGAGTTTCCCAAGAGGCGGAAGAGCCTGTGGGCGGTACTATGTGCTCTTAGCACCCTGATGGCAATGGCAGCAAATGCTACTTCTAAGACATCCCAGACAACTTTACAAGGAAGCATATGTTCGAAGTGTGAGTCTGAGAGTGATCAACAGACATAGAAAAAGTGAGGGGCCTGAATTTCTAAAGTTCCCTGTGAACAAACTGTTTTTCTGGGGAAACAAATGGCAAACTGCTTGCTGGTGCCTGAGACCTGACCAATTAACACACGGAGGAAGTCTCTGTCCCTTTAAATATCAAAGCCACAAACCATTCTCCTGAACATGTTCGCCTATGACTACACGGCAAAGTGTTATTCTTGGTAAGATGGCATAATGGTAGGGCACAAAAAAATTATATGAAAAAAGTATATAACAGAACACGTGTGTTTGCAAATGAAGATTAGAAAATCATGCACCAAAGCAGCATCTTCTTTGGCCCATGGGATTATGGTGGCTTTATTACCTATTCTAGTATCTTATCCGGCAAGAAAAGCTTTATTTATGTATAAATACTCATATACATATACACACAGATGCCACCATGAACAAGTTCTGTATAGCCCTTTTAAGTAAGACAAATGTTGCATTTCAGAACATTTTACTGCACATTAACATTTCTAGAGCTAACCCTAACCTCTGCATCTTGCAAGTCACTTCTTCCCCTGAATGAAAGTAGATACTTTCTTTCTGAAGGACCTTGTTTAGGTAAAAACTTGTGCTTGTCCTACTGACTGAAGAGGAAAAGGGAAGAACCGGGAGAGCTCAGCTGAGCTTGGAGAAGCCAGGCACGCTATTTCAGCCAAAATGACCTAAATCCAAGTGGCCGGGACAGATGAGGGTTCTCCGCCTGAATGTGCCCTGAGTTCCAAAAAGTGAGGAGGGCAACCAACCTCACTAAGTGCAGGAGCCGAGGAAAAGTGTGGGGCAGGCTTTAGAAGGCGATTCCTAACATCACTGTGACACACAAGATAGATCCAGAAAATATAATACTTGCTGTCACCGACCTGCATTGTTTTCACTCTCCTTTGAATTTGGTCTTTAGATTTGAGCATTTCAATGGAACCTTCTGGTTTCCTCCTAAGTGTTCCAGTCACCGAACACGTGGGATCCTTTAGAGCGCAAAGCAAAACGTTAGGCTCTCAGGCAACCAATGCTACTTCTAAGTACTGCACTAAAAACACACTGGAGTGGAACCAGGTAATACAACGGCACAAGGCAGGAACCGCGGATGGCTAAGGGCAGAGGAAAGAGGGGAGACAGCGTGAGTTCATGGAGGCAACGTGGGAAAGGAGACCACGGGACTCGGTCCGAGGCCGGTCTTACACACCAAAGAGGAAGGGGGAGCCTCCGAGTACATTTTTCACTTCAGATTCGTGAGTCTTCTCTCTCATTCTAAAACCTATCAGTCAATGTATTAGATGTCATCTCAGATTCTGTGTCTTTTCTCATTCTAAAATCTATCGGTACACAATCCTGAAATTACAGCTAACTGTAACTCGGTAAATTCTGTCACAGGGCTTTGTACTAAAAGGAAAAAAATCCCAGAGTCCTGCAAAACCTCATATGAGAAGATGTTCGATGCAGCATCATTTAAAGAAGATAAAAATTGGAAACAACCTCTGAGAACAGATGACAAAGCAGGCAGACTTATGGTAACATGAAAAACTGAATCCATTAAAATGAGTATAAGGACAATAGTGACTGCAGAAAGCAGTAATGATATGACATGAAAAGCAGGATAAACCTATAGATAAAATATGAGCTCACGGTTAGAAGGCAGATAAACATATACAATATATTCACACACATACCCTACACCCAAAGACTACAGGGAGTGTTATGAAAATATTCTTTTTGAACATTAGGATTAATGGGATATTCACATTTTTATTTTCAGTATTTTCTAGATTTTACATATAATGCAGGTATAATCATAAGCAATAAGCAACTAAGTATTATTAAAGATTGAACTGGGTATTTCTTGTGCTTACCCATCCGGGTGTAGTGCTAAATTAACAAACAGGAATCTGTCCTGGCTCTTTCTCAGCTCAGCGACTGACATTCCTACTCAAGTGTCTATGCTACTAAATTACCGGCCCATGGCCTTGACTGGAGATGAGATAAAAATCTGTTTGAGGCTCTCTCAAGCACAGCTGCACAAGAGCGTGCAATTTTACACATAATTTCAGGGGGCCCCTGGAGCCCCGTCAGTGACCGTGAGACGCTGGCTATGCCAGACCCTGTGGCCCTAAGGTCCATCACCCTGCCCAAGGGCACGGTTATGGTATAGGAAGCCATTCTTCCTGTGAGCTTCACTTCAGCTAAGCACTTATCTGCAATAAGGGCAGCACATATAAAATACTGCACTAAAATAGAAGGGGTAGTGAGAAGGATCATGCTGAAGGGGACATTTCATCACTGGCTTCTCCCTTTTTAGAAAGATCTAAAGGACACATCTAAAAATGACTTCTGAGGAGAGAAACTGCATTAAAGAACACACCGGAACACTAGTATTTATCAGTAAAACGCTGCTGCATGAAATAGTAACAGATCTGCCAGGTAACGCATTGATTATCTGGGGACAGTAGGATGATGAATCTGAACAGCAAGAGGACATGAAGAACTGAACATAGAGGGGCGAGAGAGGGGAGTGAGAACTCCTCAGCCAGGCAGAGCTGGTGCTCAGACTGCAAACCAGGGGCTGGCCGGGACTCTCAGCGGCCTGGAACCCTTCCTAAATCGCCACCAGAGATGCTCCTGCTAAGCAGCACTTTTGCTTTCTTTGCTGAAAACTGAATATGGAGACTATGACATACTGTACATCTAAACTGACCCCTCCGTACTGAAAACACAAGAACAAGCTGTGAATCAAGAAAAGGGAGGTACAGTCAGACTTAGCCTTTTCTATTCAAGGCTGGAAGGAAAATAGGAGAAATTCTCTCATTCAACCCAACTGCTGAGGGTCTACTATGTGCTAGAGGCTGGTCTGAAATAAAGAAATGAAGAAAACCTAGGCTCTACTTTCATGGTGCTCACAATCTGCGGGCACCCCGGCAAATAAATCTGGAGGGTAAGGGTTTCTGTGATGACACGAGAGGCACGGAACAGTAGCCTAAGGAGACACAGAGCCGTGGTACAATGGGAGGTCAAGCAAGTCTTTCTGGAGAGGCGGTTTGTTAGCTAAGACCTGGATCCTCGGAAGGGACGGGACCCAGGATTATTACTTGAAGCAGAATTCACCGAGCTCTGCCCAGTGCCTAGCAAAGAATTCTTCAGGAGATTAAGGTTCCTGGGCTATGGACCCTGCCCTGCCCTGGAGGAGTTCAGTCTATCTGAAACAGTAATCATTCGGAGCAAGAGCACTGAGTGCCAGGACAGAAGGAAGTGCTATTGCTTTCAGAAAT